ATTTCAATGGAATGGCTGTGAGTTTCTCTCCATTCAGTTTGATGTTAGCTGTCGGCTTGCTTTAAATAGCTTTTATTATATTTAGGTATGATTCTTGTATCCCCAATCTCTTCAACACCTTTATCATAAAGGGATGTTGGATTTTCTAAAATGCTTTTTCAGCATTTAATGAGATGATCATATGGTTTTTTTTCTTTCAGTTTATTTATATGATGGATTACATTGATAGATTTGCGTATGTTGAACCAGCCCTGCATCCCTGGAATGAAGCCTACTTGATCATAATGGATAATTTTTCTAATGTGTTCTTGGAATCGGTTTGCCAGGATTTTGTTGAGAAATTTTGCGTCAATGTACATGAGTGAGATTGGCCTGTTATTCTCTTTCTTGGTTGTGCCTTTATGTGGTTTTGGTATCAGGGTAACTGTAGCTTCATAAAAAGAGTTTGGCAATGACTTTTCTGTTTCTATATTGTGAAATACCTTAAGGAGTATAGGTATCAGCTCTTCTTGGAAGTTCTGGTAGAATTCTGCATTGAAACCATCTGGCTCTGGGCTTTTTTTCGTCGGGAGGTTTTTGATAACAGCTTCTAATTCTTCGCGACTAACAGTCTATTTAGATTGTTCACCTGGTCTTGATTTAACTTTGGTAAATGGTATTTATCTAAAAACCAATCGATTTCTTGTTCATTTTCCAACTTTGTGGCATATAAACTTTCATAGTAAGATCTAATGATTCTCTGAATTTCCTCTGTGTCTGTTGTTATGTCCCCCTTTTCATTTCTGATCTTATTAATTTGAGTGTTCTCTCTCTGCCTTTTGATAAGTTTGGCTAGGGGTTTGTCAATCTCGTTGATTTTTTCCAAGAACCAACTTTTTGTTTCATTGATTTTTTGGATTGATTTCTGTGTTTCTATTTTGTTGATTTCAGCCCTCAGTTTGATTATTTCCAGTCTTCTACTCCTCCTGGGAGAGTCTGCTTCTTTTTTTTCCAGAGTTTTCCGGTGTGCTGTTAAGTCTCCAATATGTGCTTTCTCTGTTTTCTTTAATTGGGCACTTAGTGCTATGAACTTTCCTCTTAGCACTGCTTTCATTGTGTCCCATAGGTTTGAGTATGTTGTGTCTTTATTTTCATTAAATTAAAGGACGACTTTAATTTCTTTCTTTATTTCTTCCTTGACCCAGGGATGATTCAGTAGTTGACTGTTCAACTTCCATGCGTTTTTAGGCTTTCTAGTGTTCGAATTGTTATTGAATTCTAACTTTATTCCGTGGTGATCCGACAAGACACAGGTGGTTACTAATATTTTTTTGTATCTGTGGAAGTTTGCTTTGTTACCGAGTATGTGGTCAATTTTCGAGAAGGTTCCATGAGCTTCAGAGAAGAAGGTATATTCTTTCCTATTTGGGTGGAATGTTCTATAGATATCTGTTAAGTCCATTTGATTCATTACCTCTAGTAATTCTCTTATTTCTCTGTTGAGTTTCTGTTTGATTGACCTGTCCATGGTGAGAGAGGTGTGTTGAAATCTCCTACTATTAGTGTGTGTGGTTTGATGACTGCCTTGAGTTCTAAAAGTTTTTTTCTTTTACATAAGTGGGTGCTTTTATATTAGGGGCACAGATATTCAGGATTGAGACTTCCTCCTGATGAATTGTTCCTGTTATGAGTATAAAATGTCTGTCTCCATCTCTTCTGATTGATTTTAGTTTGAAGTCAATTTTGTTGGAAATTAGAATGGCCACATCTGCTTGTTTCTTAGGTCTGTTTGCTTGGAAAACCTTTCCCAACCCTTTACTCTGAGTAGATGTCTGTCTTTGTGGTTCAGGTGTTTTCTTGTAAACAGCAGAATGTTGGATCCTGTTTTCGTATCCAATCTCTTAGTCTGTGCCTTTTTATAGGTGAGTTGAGTCCATTAATATTAAGTGATATTAATGACCAGTGGTTGTTGACTCCGGTTATTATTTGTGTGTGTGTGTGTGTGTGTGTGTGTGTGTAGTAGAGTTTGTGTGGTTCTTTTCTTTGAGTTGTGGTTGTGAAGGGTCGCTAGATGTCTGGTAGGTAGTGATGGCAATGTTGGATTCCTTGGGTTGCGATTTTCCTTCTATTACTTTCTGTAAGGCTGGATTTGTACCTACGAATTGTTTAAATTTATTTTTATCCTGGAATATTTTGTTTTCTCCGTTGATAGTATATGATAGCTTGGCTGGGTATAGTAGTCTGGGTTTGCATCCATGGTCTCTTAGTTTCTGCAGTACCTCTATCCATGATCTTCTGGCTTTCATGGTTTCCATAGAGAAGTCCGGTGTAAGCCTGATAGGTTTACCTTTATAAATTACTTGACCTTTTTCCTTTGCAGCTCTTAATATTCTTTCTTTAATCCGTATGTTTTGTGTTTTGATTATCATATGGCGAGGGGATTTTTCTTTTGATCCAATCTATTCAGTGTTCTGTATGCTTCTTGAACCTTCATAGGAATATCGTTCTTTATATTGGGAAGTTTTCTTCTATAATTTTGTTGAATATATTTTCTGGGCCTTTGATCTGCAGTTCTTCTCCTTCTTCAATCCCTATTATTCTTAGATTTGTTTTATTTATTGTGTCCCAGATTTCTTGAATGTTGTGTGAAGAGAATTTGTTGGATTTGCCATTTTCTTTGACCAGAGCGTTTATTTTCTCTATGGTATCTTCAGAATCTGAGATTCGTTCTTCTATCTCTTGTATTCTATTGGTTATGCTTGATTCTGTAGTCTCCGTTCGTTTACCTAGGTTTTCCATATCCAGCCAGTTCTCGGTTTGTGTTTTCTTCATTGCCTCCATTTCAGCTTTCAATTCTTGGACTGTTTCCTTTTTCCTGTTTGATTGTTTTTTCTTGGTTTCTCAGGGTATTATTCACGGATTTACTTATTTCTTCAAACTTTTTTTTATACTTCTTATCCATTTCTTTACTCATTTCTTTGAATTTTTTTTTATACTTCTCATCCAATTCTTTAAGGGAGTTATTCATTTCCTATTTAAGGGACTCTATTGCTTTCATAATGGCACTTTTTTCCACTTTTTCTGGATTAAGGTGTTCAAGTCCTTCTATTGTAGGGTCGTTGGGATCTGGTGTTTTCCTGTTGTTTTTCAGATTGTTGGACGAGGTCTTGCCTTGGCGTCTGCCCATCTCTTCCTTCAAATGCTCTCTATTGGATCTTCTGGTACCGGGTCAGGTTCCCTTGTTGGGCAGGGACTTCACTGACAGAATGCCCACCTGTCCTCAGGCAGGCTTTTAAGGCACAGGAACTGCCTCCTGCCGGGATGCACCTACAGCCCAGGCCCAGCGCGCAAGGCAGCTGAGCTGGGGAAATTTTATGGCCCCAGGGGGAAGGGAGAAATATAGGAATTTGTACCTGGATGGAAGCTGGGATGGCAGGCAGGAGAGCTTAGCAGGGTGGAGCCAGCACTGCTGGGTGACCTGGGAGTCTATGGGGTCGGGGAAAGTCCAAGCTCCTCCTCGCCGGGCCCCTGCCGTGGGCCAGAAGCAAACTCTGTAAAAATAATTTTTGATAAAAGTAGAAATATCCCCTTTCTTGTTTAGAAGGCTATATGCATATAAATTAAAGAGATGTCTTCATCAAGGTCAGGAGAATTTTCAAGTTTTACATTTTAAAAATATATCCAAAGGGAATGTAAAATACTAAGCTTGTGGCTAAACAGTAGGAGCTCTTTAACAGAGGCAGACACAGATTATTTGGAAGTCAAACAAGTATAAGTTCATATGAGTAGCAGTGAAATACAGTTTATCTCATAGGTAACGTATGAAATGAACCTAGATGTGTTAGCAAAGTTTTGAAGATGTTGATAAGTGTGGTAGCTGAAAGTTATGGATAATATTAATGACAAACTTAACAGAATCTAAAACTCCCTAGTGGTTGGATGGACCTTTAGTCATGCCTGTGGGAGACTATATTGACTATAGTAATTGCAGTAAGAAGAAATGCCACCTGAGATTTGCACCATTGCCTGACTTGGATCATAGATTTGTTGTATGAAAAATGGAATGTAGGAGCAGAATGTGTTCATTGATTTCTGCTTCTTGATTGTATATAATACTTATGAGTTCTTAAAACAGAACCTTTGCTAAGAGGGACTGTCTAGTGAGGATGAAATGCTTTAGATGGAGTGAAGAGGGCGGATTTCCCCTCTCCATATCTCTGTCCACTGTCACTCACTCTTTTTATCATCCTGTCTGTGCAAATTGTAACTTGAAAGAATACATTTTGTGTTACATAAGCATTATAACCCACAACAGCAACAACTATTTTAATAACAAAAGTTACAAAAAGCATGGCTGGAAAGAACCATCTTTCCTGGTAGGAATGTCTTTGATGGGTCCTGCAGTTCAGAATTTTGCAATAAGAAAACATCAACATTGACCAGGACTATCGATAGAGACTTCACATATTCATAAATATTTAACCTGAGAAAAGGGGGAACTATTTAAAAAGAACAATATAGAGGTCATGAATTATGGCATAAATAATTATTTGAAAGCATATTTTCAACACCAGGGTGTCATATTTGTGGTGGGGTGACATGACAATTAATCGCCATTGATATCTGGTCATGTGAGCAACTCCAGCAGTTGTGTACAATTATTCATAGATCTTTATATTTGATAATAATAACAAATAATGCCTTGTTGAAATCACAAGCTTGAGATTGGTATGATTATCATAATTCTTATTGATCCTAAAAAGTTATTCCTTTGATGTCTGGAAATTGACTCATAAAACTTGAATCTAGGAAAGCTATGCTGATGATTTTTACCTCACAGAGGAGGAGGAGGCAGAGAAGTGACGACTAAACTTCATCTTCCGATTCAGAGACGATCAGAGACTTAGGGTTACAACTAGATAGGTTGCCTTTGAATATTTGTGCCTCTACAGCCAACTGCGTAACTGATATTATTCTCACTATAAGGTTTTATATTTCTTTATATTTTCTCGTCTTTTCAGGCTGATGTCATTGATGTGAGTTATGGAACTGCAGATGATTTGAAAAGGATTACAAAATTGAAAAATACAACAAATCAAATTGCACTCCTGAAATTAGGAAAATTACCACTACTCTATAAGGTTAGTACAAAGGCTCTTATTTGGTTTAGAGTAAACACATTTTTGTGTGTTGTTTGATGTAGGTGCTTTTGAAATTATGCAGAGAGTGAGAGAGTGTGCATATGTGCATGTATGTGTGAATGTATGAGAGAGATGTCATTTCAAAATTAGAATAAATTAAGATCTTTATGGAAAAGAAGTCAATGTCTGTATTCTTTAAATGAGAAGATGCATTAGTTGGGGATGGGGGAGCCTGTGAACTCCTAATCAAGCTGCATCTCCATTAAGGGTACAACACCTAAAGCATTGACAAAGAGAGCTTTGGTTGCCCTTCTGATAATATATTTGAAAGTTCCAATCTGTGGCCAAAACTGGCTAATTTCAAGGTACATCCATCGTGTTAGATCAGAATCTAGCTACCTTATGCTCTTCTGTGATTAATTTTGTAAACTCTGAAACTTTACAGTTACTGTCTGAACTCAGGAATCCAATTAAAAGGCAATATTTAAGGAGTTGTAGAATTTTCATTTATTCTATTAAAGTTGAAGTTTGTTAACATTTATCCACTAAATGCATCTGTAATTAAAGCAATTCAAACTAAAGGACTTAGCACAATGTACAGCAGGGTTGGGGCCTATTATTTCATTTTATGTTTCTGTGTAGAAATAATGGTCATTGTTGCTACGTCACAGGAAACCTTTTGTTCTGAATATAAATTGAACTTTTTCTTATCCAATTTTTAAGGGTTTTGCTAATCTCCAAACATATTTCCTTAAAACTGTTGGGTGGCTTATTATGAAAGCAGAGGGCAGACATGTGGGCACATTACTTTAATCTCAGCAATCAGGAGGAAGAATCAGGTTGACATCTCTGAGTTTTATGCTACTTGATTTATTGCATAACTCCACGCCAGCCAAGTAACACAGTTGGTATGAGTGACTCTAGTGTGTTCATTGTCCCAACTATGAAATGGGACTTAGGTTAGCCTTAGTATTTGATGACATCTCCATGTGGACACCTGCCTGACTCTGCATATTAGAAAATGCTTGTGCATTTTATAAGAGAAAATGCCTTTAAAATTTCAAACTAAGAGTCTGGAGCGGTGATTGGGCTGGTGAAGAGAGAGCACTTGCTGTCTTGCTGAGGACCAGTGATGCACCTCCCTCTCAGGTGTGTGATAGTTTGTATGGGTTACATATGAGGAAATTCCTCTTAATTCTCAAGTCAACCAATTCTCCAGAGTATCTGCACCTCTTTCTTTCTTTCTTTCTTTTTTTAATCTGAAGCTTAGAATATGAACTAACAACCTATTTGGGATGGAATAATTTTTTGATGCCATTGCTTTGACTAGAATTTGCTTTGATTAATCTTCAAGGAGTCAGAATGCTCTGAGTGGCAGGATGTGAAGTTAGACCTTCATAAATTCTGAACTTGCTAAAATGCACTCCGCTATGGAACTTTTTTTAAACAAAAATACTAGACAACATTTTAATTCATATGGTCAATTTCACTAAATGTCGTAATAGATACATAAATACTGTGTTCTCTATAACTTGGAAAATTAAATAAATTACAATAGACTTACAATAGAGTTTACACTAGGTCCTAACACAATAACTCTCACATGGAGGAGAAAATCCTACATGGAGTAAATTATAAGAAAACATGTAATTTAACTAACTATGTAATTTTAGCATAGTAAAACTACACTTAAAATTTACAAATCCTATTGCTGTTCTTACAAATGGAATAGGGTAGGACATGTTTCTATCACTGTCATAGAGTGAGGTATTAAAATGTTTTATTTTCTTCATATCCATTTTAAGTTTAAAGTGACAATTTTAAAGATTTAAGTATCCTAATGACTTTTTAGATTCCTAAAAATGATATATTTTTATCTATCTGATAAAGCACGTTATGCACTAGGAAAAATGAAAAGCATAATTCTGTACCTCAAAGTCAGTACATTGCTATATGGTTCTTGATCAGTATGTGTTTCATGAAAGACTTCCATTGGGAGATACAACACACATGTCAACTCACCCCAAAGAAACCTGAAACAGCCCAAAATCCTAACTGGAGCCAAGTCACACTTGGCAAATAAATAAAACTGTTGTGACTGACACATAGGCTGCTTGGCAGATGACAGTTATCCTTGGTCTGCAGTTATGTATTTCTCCTAATACCCCTGTGGGAAAGTGTGAGGAATCCTGCAGGCTCAGCATTCCTAGACATATGAAGAGTTTTATCTCAGTCTGATTCTCATGACCCTCTCGTCTCACTCCCAAAAGAAAGATTCTACTCACGTGAAACTGAACACTTTGTATGTCATTGCCACTTAGGCTTAGAGATAGTGCATAAAGGGATAAGTGTCTGGAGAAGATGTCAGAAATAGGAGGGAGAAACAATTTTTAATGTGTTTATTTTATTTGCAGAATGTCTTCTATGCTAATACACACATGTGTTTAAGCAAAACTTCATGTTACTTGAAATTTAAACTGACTCATCCTCAAAATAATTAAATTTTAAACAATTAACTAATGTTCTGTTAAAATATAGAAGATAAATGATGAGAATTACCTACAAATTGCCAGCAGTCTATAACAATAATTGTCAATGAAGTCTATGGCTGTCACATATTCAAGACAAGTGGAAGATCATTAGGAAATGTTCTAATTAGGTATCTAAAAATACTGACAAATACTGCATTTTAAAAATTCATTTCTATGAAGTATGTGTATGCTCTTTGTTACCTTTGTATATTTAACCCATTATTCTGTTCTATGTTAGCCATGTGGCTCAGTACCTTTTTCAGAGGCAAATCATATCCTGCTGCTTTGGTGGTCTGGGCAGGAGTGGGAGGAATCACCTTCCTCCTTCCCAGAATTCTCCTGTTCTCATTGTATCATTTCTACTTCCTGTCTGGTTTTCCCACCTATACTTCCTGCCTGTCAAATCAGCATTTATTTAAAACATGATTGACAGAATACAGACAGTTCTCCCACACCATTTTTTAAAGTCTTAGGTTGTGTGATATGAGACTGCTTTCAAAAGTAAATGAAATATCAACCTTCCCCAGCCCCAAAGCTCTGGGAGCAAGCAGAAGATGGAAGGAAAGTAAGAAACAAAGAGGAGGAGGGATGTTGTGAAACACTAATTTCTCCCATAAAATGACCATTGCACTAAAGAACTCAAAAAAGCACCAGATGTGAAGTGGCCACTTCATGCATTAGATGATCATCAGAAATAGTAGAATTTTTGTTTAATTTCTCATTTTTATTTTCCCAATTGAAAATAAGGCTGTATTTACTTGTTAAGTAGCAAAAATAGGTGGTACATTGGGGAAAGACTAAATAGTAAATCTTATTTCATTTTCTAAGCTTTTTGTAAGTTTAAATTAATTCAGAAAGATTGCAATGGTCAGAAAAATTAGATGACACCAAGAAAACAAGGCCCTCTAAGTCATTATGAACAAAGCTCATATGAACTCACAGAAACTTGAAGCATCGTACTCAGGGCTTTCACGGTTTTCACCAGGTCCTCTGTATATATATTATTGGTTCTCATTTACTGTTTTATTGGAGTAGCATGTGTGTCTTTTTTGGGGGCTTTTTTCCTCCAGTTGGTTTGTCTTGTCCAACTTTTATGTGATAGTTTTGCTTTATTTTAGTTTATTTTGTTATAATTTAAAGAATATATGTAAAGAAATTAATGGAAACCCAACCACTATGGTAAAGGTTCACAACTGACTGTCACTTATACCTGGTGGATCAGGAAATCAGTTTCCTTCAATAAAGTGACACTGGATAAGTGAACCACTTCAGGACAGGCCCCATGTTCAGGTGTAGTAGTTGACCAACGTATAATGGATTTCACAGTTTTCATATGTTCTTTTATTAGGCTAGAGTTTGGAGGTTTTGGGGGAAGATGTATTTTGTTTTTGCATTATGTTTTTGCTTGTTTTTTGAGAAAAAAAATAAACTTGGGTTGGTACAGAGGTGGACAGATATGGAAGGACTTGGGAAACGGGAAGAAAATGATCAAAAAGTTTAAATTTTAAAATTGTTTAAAAAGTATAAAATATAATAATAAAAAGAAAATTGTATGCATATATATTGTATACATATGTATATATATACATATATATACATATATACTGTATATATACATATACGATATATATGTATACATATGTATATATATATATATATATATATATATATATATATATATATATTGCATTCTGGTCAATCCCTCTAAAAATCTCTTATTCTCTCCCTCCATCGACTCTTCCTCTTCACTTCTGATACTTTTCCTAGATTCATGATGTTTGGTTTTATTTTGTGACTCATTTATTCTAACCATAGCCATCTGTGTGGCTACTTTATTTGGAATATCCACAGGAGCCTGGTAAGGCACCAATGTGCCCACCACTGAAAGAAATGGCTCCTTTCCTCAAATTCAGCAAGCAAAATCCTTCAACAGTAATGAGTCAGACTCTCTGGGTTTTTCACTCATCCATTCCTGACTGTGGAACCATTCTTGTCCAGACTAAGTGTAGTCATCTTTAGATGAGGAGAATCCCTGAGTCCTGTGACCATGCATTTCTGGGAAGATGGTATTTCACAGTCGTTTCCTGTATTTTCTAGCTTTCTCCCATTTCTGTGTCCTCTCCCACAATGTCCCTTTAGCTTTAGAAGAGAATGTCTTGTAAGTACTGTCTAGGTATAAGAGCTTACTTCCATGCTGATTTGATGCTATGCCAATTAAACTAAATAACAGAATTAAGTTCCCTAGAGCCTTCCTCCCCTGGAGCTTCTGACTGCATTCACAGTTCTGGGCATGGAGTCCCTCCTGTGTAGTGAAACTGAAATCAATCGGTTATCTTCACAATTTCTTGCCACTATTGTATAAGCATCTACATCTTGCCAGACAAATTAGTAATGTTGGTAAAATTCACAGCTGGTTGAAATCATTGACCATATTTGTCTCCCATCAGCAGTCTTAGCACCTTTTGCCGT